ACATGGGAGGGCAGCTGAACCTTCATGATGATTTCCATTCCCCTGGGTATACACCCAGCACCGGGATTGCTGGATCATATGGAAGTTCTATCTGTAGTTGCTTGAGGAAACTCCATACTGTTTTCCATAATGGCTGTCCCCATTAGCTACATTTCAAGTCCCCAGTAGGTCCACACGGTTCCTGGCCACTGTATTGGACTGTCCGTCAGCACACAATGTTCCTCTGCTGTAGACGTTTCGGATGCCCTGGTCACTTCCTGGTCTTGGCCCCCCTCACAGGGCCCAGACCCTTTGCTCTCCTTNCCAATAACATTCGTCACAGAAATAGAAGAAACAATCTTAACATTCATATGGAACAACAAAAGACCCCAAGCTGAAACAATTCTGAGCAAAAAATAAATAAATAAATAAAGGTGGAGGCATTACACTACCTGACTTCAAATTATACTACAAAGCTATAGTAACCCAAACAGCATGGTACTGGCATAAAAACAGACACTCAGACCAGTGGAACAGAATAGAGATCCCAGAAATCCACCTACAAACTTACAGCCTTACTGCTCTTTGACAAAAGCACCAAGAACACACATTGAGGAAAAGACTGCCTCTTCAATGAATGGTGCTGGGAAAACTGGACATCCATCTGTTGAAGAATGAAACTAGAACCATATATCTCGCCATATATGAAAATCAACTCAAAATGTATTAAAGACTTACATATAAGATCTGAAACTATAAAACTCCTGAAGAAAACATAGAAAAAATACTTCAGGACGTAGAACTAGGCAAAAACTTTATGATTAAACCTCAAAAACACAAGCAACAAATGGAACTATATCAAACTAAAAAGCTTTTGCACAGCAAAGGAAACAATCAATGAAAAGATAAGCTACAAAATGGAAAAAAAATATTTGCAAAATGTACATCTGACAAGGGATTAATATCCAGAATATACAAGGAAGTCAAACAGCTTAACAGTAATAAAACAAGTAATCCAATCAAAACATGGGCCAAAGAGCTGAATAGACATTTATAAAAGAAGACATACAAATGGCCAACAGGTGCATGAAAAAAAGGTTTGACATCATTAAGCATCAGGGAAATGCAGATCAAAACCATAGTGAGATATCATCTCAACCCATTAGACTGGCTATTATCAAAGAGACAGACAATAATAAATGCTGGCAAGGATGCAGAGAGAGGGAACTCTCCTACACTGTTGGTGAGACTGTAAATTAGTTCGGCCACTATGGAAAACAGTAGGGAGTTTCTTCAAACAACTAAAGATAGAACTGCCATATGATCCATCAATCCCACTGCTGGGCATATATCCAAAGGAATGGAAATCATCATGTTGAAGGGATAAACGCCCATGTTTATCACAGCTCTATTCACAGTAGCTAAGAGTTGGAACCAACCTAAATCTCCATCAGTGGACAACTAGATAAGAAAAATGTGGAACATATACACAATGGAAAACACTTGTCCATTAAAAAAGAATGAAATTTTGCCATTTGCAGCAACATAGATGAACTTAGAGAAAATTATATTAAGTGAAATAAGCCAGACACAGAAAAAAAATACCACATGTCCTCACTCTGAAGTGTGAAATAAAAAAGAAAGAAAGAAAAATCACAACAATCTGTTGAACTTTCAGAATGAGAAAATAGAAGTGTAATTACTAGAGATGAGGAAGGGGCAAGGGGAGGGGAGTTATCAAGAAATTGGTGAATGGACACAAAGAATGATTACCGTTTATAATGATGAATATGCTAATTATCCTGGGTTGATCATCACGCATTATACACAAGTATTGATAGTCAACTCTACCCCATAAATATGTATTATCAACTATGTTTCAATTTAAAAAAAGAAAAAGAATCTTTATAGCATCCCTGTTTGTAAGAGCCTCAACCTAGAAACTACCCAAATGCCTGTCAAAGTAGATTGGCCGGCTTCCCTGAGCCAGCGAGCCCTGTCTAACACTGCGGCCTTCCTCCTTCCCCAGGTCCTAGCGAGTCGCCTGCTGCCATGAGGATTGCAGTGATTGGACAGAGCCTATTTGGCCTGGAAGTTTACTGCCACCTGAGGAAAGAGGGCCACGAGGTGGTGGGCGTGTTCACTATCCCAGACAAGGATGGGAAGGCCGACCCCCTGGGTGAGTGAGTGGCCCAGGAGCAGGGCCAGCAGGCGGAGGGCAGCTGCCTGCCCAGGAGAGGGGTGGCAGGCAGGGGGAGCAGAAGTCTGCGGGGGCTGGTGGAGAAGCCCTCTCTGGGAGGCAGCCATACGTGATTCTCACTAAACTCTGCTCTGGTGCCAACTGGCTGCTGGTCTTTTCTGGAATAAAGTGGAAGTCCCTTCCCCACCTGATCAGGAGTGGGCTTGTGTCATGGAGAAGCCCAGCCTTGTCGCAGATCCCACTCTGAGATTCTCTGAGCCCAGAACCCATGCTCTGGAAGGGCTCCCAGGGCAGGAGTCACTGGGGTCAGTGTTCTCAAGGAGGGCAAATACTAGAGGGGAACTTGAGCCCGTCCTGGGAGTTTCTGATTCGGTAGAATGGGGTGGAGTTTTAGAATTTTCACCTCTGACAAGTTCCTGGGTGATGCTGGTGCCTCCGGTTCTAGGAGGAGCATAGTTGGAGAATCACAGGCCTGAGCCTCTGGCTTTGGGCAGGGAACCTCAGCATGGCAGGACGCACAGGCCTCAGCCTGGAGCGCAGAGCATCCGGGGACACTCCTGGTCCTTCTCAGACCTGACAGGGGCAGATTGTGGGGCAGGAAGGCTGGAATTACAAAAGGGGGCCTGTGGGACTGTCCAGGCGTAGGGGTGGTTCATCAAGGAATTGGCCAGCGTCCCCAGACAGGAGTCACAGCCTGGCCCCTGGACTCAGGTCCAGCACCGCCTAATGCCAGCCAGAGTCTCGGTCTTGGACCTGACCACAGTATAACCCATGACGCACCCTGACTCCACCACAGCCTGAGCCCTGCACCAGCCACTAAGTGACCACTGACACCAGCTGCTGATCCTGGACCCAGACTGAGCTTGGCTGGGGCTACTCTTTGACCTCAGATGTCCTGTAGAAGTGTCACAATGGGACGGCTTTTGCAAGTACCGTCCAATCTGCCCAGGTCACACCCTGCGCTCCCTCAAAACCAGGAAATAGTGGCAGAGGGAGGCCAGAGAGGAGGGTCAGTCCAGTCAGGGCCCAAACATCACACCAGATATCCTAACAGAACTGAATATAGAGTAGCGTTCCTCGGGCATTGAGGAGCCCTGAGGTATCGGGGGCCAGTGCCTGCAGGAGGCAGCTGAGGACGGAGCGAGAAGCTGCAGATGCCAAACGCGGAGGCGGGAGGGGGCTGTCAATCAGACCTGGGAGCCGGAGGGTGCACCGCCCCGCTGCTGCTGGTCACGGGCCTCTGAGGCACGGTGCGTGTGCGTACCTGTGCGTACCTGTGCGTGTGCGCGTGTGTGCACATGTCAGCGTGTGTGCGCATGTGCGTGCAGGTGTGTGTGCGCGTGTGTGCGTGTGTGCATGTGTGTGTGTGAGCCCGGGTGCGTGCGTGCGCGTGCGTACCTGTGCGTGTGCGCGTGTGTGCACATGTGAGCGTGTGTGCGCGTGTGCGTGTGCATGTGAGCGCGTGTGTGTTGAGGCTAGTTCTGCAGATACTGGCAAAGCTGATTCAGCTGCCGCTCTGGAAGGAGCTGCTGCGGCTGGGAGAAGAAGCCAGGCTGGGGTGATGCTCACCGGGCAGGAACCCGACAGAAAGGCGCTTGCCCCTTCTCTCTCTTCTCCCGCATCCTCCTCCCTCCAGCATTTCTGTCGCCCTCTGGTCAGGGAACAGCTGACAAAGCAGAAATGTGATTTGCAGGGTCCCAGCCCCCATCACAGAGAGCCGTAGGAGGCCGGCGAGACAGTAGCTTAGTGAGGGGCATGGCCAGCCATCTGGGGCCAGGCAGGAGTCTGCAAGGGGGAGGTACCCAGAGGTCCTGGTGGTCAGCAGAAGTCAGAGTCCAGGCAGAGCAGTCCCTGAAGCAGACCTATGGCTATGCCATCCCGCTGCGTTGCATGAAGTTCTCTGGTCTGGGAGCCACTTTGCTGAGGAGGCAGAGGTGGCAGTGCACGGGTGGGTGGCAGAAAAGGACCAGTTTCTCACCTGCTATCCCGCAGGCCTGGAGGCTGAGAAGGATGGAGTGCCAGTGTTCAAATTCGCCCGGTGGCGGGCGCGAGGACAGGCTCTGCCTGATGTGGTGGAAAAATACCAGGCTCTGGGTGCCGAGCTCAACGTCCTGCCCTTCTGCAGCCAGTTCATCCCCATGGAGATCATCAATGCCCCCCGACACGGCTCCATCATCTACCACCCATCTCTGCTCCCCAGGCACCGCGGGGCCTCAGCCATCAACTGGTGAGATGGGGTGAAAACAGAGTTGCATCCCCACACGTCTCCCTCCATCCCCCTGAGTCATCATCCTACCTTAGCGTGAAGCCTTTCTCTGGGACCCTGGAGTGGGTCTTGTGCAGATGTCTGCCCTCTGCTGCCAGATGTCACACAGAATGGGCGGGCAAAGTGTTATCAACAAGAGAGAGGGCTCTGGAGCAGTGGGACAGGCTTTGCTAAGCAATTAACCCAAGGAGTGAGCACCGCTGTGCCCGTCCTGCAGCTGGGACAGAGAGGGCACCCAGCAGGCTGTGATGGGGAGGGGTCTGCCCAGAGTCCTGCTCTAACCCCTCCCTTCCTTTCAGCAGCATCCTGTGTAGAAAGAGATAGAGGTGGAGTAAAGGACAAGAAGTGCGAAGACAATACACGGGGTGGTGGGTCAGATGCGTGCTCAGGGAGGGAAGACATGTGAGCTGAGAAGAGAGAGGGTTGGTGGCCAGGCTGGTCTGGCTGGAATCCGGGCCCCCTGCTCTTTGGTAACATCACTGCGCTTCTCTCCGCCTCTGCTCTCTCATCTGCAAAAGGAGCACCCGGTCCTGTTACACCCGTTGTGCGGGTTACATTACGTAAGACATGTAGAGCTTTTAGCACAATGTCTGGCACTTAGGTGGTATCAGAAATGTTTTCCTTCTCCTCCCTCTGCTGCCAGAACAGGTGTCAGTCCTCCTGGGGGGACAGGGAGGCTGCTGGAGGGTGCAGGGCCGTGGGGCAGCACCCAGGGCATCCTTTCCCACAATCCTTCCTCTCGGACTCAGGCTTTCACTCTTCTGCTTCCCAGGACCCTCATTCATGGAGATAAGAAGGGGGGGTTTACCATCTTCTGGGCAGACGACGGTCTGGACACTGGGGACCTTCTGCTCCAGAGGGAGTGCGAGGTGCTCCCGGACGACACCGTGAGCTCGTTGTACAACCGCTTCCTCTTCCCTGAAGGCATCAAAGGGATGGTAAGGGCTGGGAGCTGGCCTTCCCTCACACAGCCCTGCCCGCAGGCATCTCTGTTCCCAGGCCCCCTCCAGACCCAGCTGCTGCCTCTAGACGCAGACGCTTATTCTGAGCTAGCCAGGAATCTGTTCCCTTAATTCCAGGATTCTGGAGGGAGAGAGCTCTCACTCCAGAGTTTCAANTCTGCCCTCTGCTGCCAGATGTCACACAGAATGGGCGGGCAAAGTGTTATCAACAAGAGAGAGGGCTCTGGAGCAGTGGGACAGGCTTTGCTAAGCAATTAACCCAAGGAGTGAGCACCGCTGTGCCCGTCCTGCAGCTGGGACAGAGAGGGCACCCAGCAGGCTGTGATGGGGAGGGGTCTGCCCAGAGTCCTGCTCTAACCCCTCCCTTCCTTTCAGCAGCATCCTGTGTAGAAAGAGATAGAGGTGGAGTAAAGGACAAGAAGTGCGAAGACAATACACGGGGTGGTGGGTCAGATGCGTGCTCAGGGAGGGAAGACATGTGAGCTGAGAAGAGAGAGGGTTGGTGGCCAGGCTGGTCTGGCTGGAATCCGGGCCCCCTGCTCTTTGGTAACATCACTGCGCTTCTCTTGGCCTCTGCTCTCTCATCTGCAAAAGGAGCACCCGGTCCTGTTACACCCGTTGTGCGGGTTACATTACGTAAGACATGTAGAGCTTTTAGCACAATGTCTGGCACTTAGGTGGTATCAGAAATGTTTTCCTTCTCCTCCCTCTGCTGCCAGAACAGGTGTCAGTCCTCCTGGGGGGACAGGGAGGCTGCTGGAGGGTGCAGGGCCGTGGGGCAGCACCCAGGGCATCCTTTCCCACAATCCTTCCTCTCGGACTCAGGCTTTCACTCTTCTGCTTCCCAGGACCCTCATTCATGGAGATAAGAAGGGGGGGTTTACCATCTTCTGGGCAGACGACGGTCTGGACACTGGGGACCTTCTGCTCCAGAGGGAGTGCGAGGTGCTCCCGGACGACACCGTGAGCTCGTTGTACAACCGCTTCCTCTTCCCTGAAGGCATCAAAGGGATGGTAAGGGCTGGGAGCTGGCCTTCCCTCACACAGCCCTGCCCGCAGGCATCTCTGTTCCCAGGCCCCCTCCAGACCCAGCTGCTGCCTCTAGACGCAGACGCTTATTCTGAGCTAGCCAGGAATCTGTTCCCTTAATTCCAGGATTCTGGAGGGAGAGAGCTCTCACTCCAGAGTTTCAAAGAGGTAGGAGTAGAACAAACAACATATTATATTAGGAGGGACTCTTGCTCACAACCGACAGAACCCAACTCAAAACTCTTTAGCCAAAAAAAAAGGGACATTTTTGGCTCATTTAATAGACCAGACTAAAGGCAGGGATGGTGTCACACCCATGGCTGAATCCAGAAACTGTCTTTCTTCACCCTTTGATTCTGCTTTTTTCTGTTCGGTTAGCTTCACCTCAGGCTGGCTGCCCAAGTGGGTGGAAAGACAGTCCCTGGCAGCGTGAGGGATTTGATTCCAGCCAAAGAGACATTTGCATTAACTCATGAATGAAAATCAGAGAACACTGATTGGCCAATTTCGGTCATCCTGAGCTAATCACCGCCAGGGTGATGGACTGCTCTGATTGGCAGCCTCAGTCAGACGCTTCCTTCTGTGGCCAGTAGGGAAGGAAGGCCCCTCAAGTGTAGTCAGCTGTTACCAGAGCAGAGGGGTGGGGCTGCCAGAAGAGGTGTGGGCGGCTGCGCTGGGTGCAGCAGGCAGGCCCACAGGGACCGTGGGACCTGCCCCCTTGGCTGCAGCCGAGGCCCCTAGGCGGTGTCTGTGCAGGGCTGCTGGTGTCCTAGGGGGAGGGAGGCCTAGCCGGCGATAGCCAAAGGCAGGTGATATTCCAGGCCAGGAATTGGACAGGAGGAGGTTTCTGGAAGGAGAGCATTTGCTGTTTGGACATAACAATAAGAATAACAGTAAAGTACAAATGCTCGCTGCAATCCAGATGTCGGCTGCCAGTGTTTCACTTTTCAGGTTGTATTAAACTAGGTACTATTCACAGAAGTAGTGAGCCAAGTAGACTTGCTAGAGATTTAGTACGAGAGACAGAGAAGGGGGTTACCTGCACATCCCACAGCAAATAACTCAAATACCCCTTAGAGTTGCCCAGTCTGATAAGGCAGCCACTGGTCACATGCAGCTACTTTAATTAATTAATGTGTATTGTAATTAAAAATTCAGTTCCTCAGTCTCATCAGCTACATTTCTTTTTTTTTTAAAGATGAACTAATTAATTTATTTTTTACTGAAACATATGATTAGGCATATTTGTGGGGTACAGAGTGGAATATCAATACCTGTGTGCAGTGTGCAATGATCAAGCCAGGAACATTGCACATTCGTCGTTACAAGACATAATCATTACTTCGAGGACGTTCGATCTCCTCTCTTCTAGTCATTTGATAACACGAAGTAAATTAATGTTAATTATAGACGCCTAGCTCGACTGTATATCAATAGACTTATTGTTCCTAACTAGCTGTTTTGTGTCCATTAACCCATTTCTTGCTATTCCTCCTCCCTTCCCTGCCTCTAGTGACCACAGTTCTCTTCTCGCCTTCTGAAAGTTCAGCGTATTATCTCTCCTTCCTTCCCTCTTTCCTTCCTTCCTTCCTTCCTTCCTCCTTCCTTCCTTCCTCCTTCCTTCCTTCCTTCCCTCCTTCCTTGCTTCCCTCCTTCCTTCCTTCCTCCTTCCTTCCTTCCTTCCTCCTTCCTTCCTTCCTTCCTCCCTCCCTCCCTCCCTCCTTTCCTTCCTTCCCTCCCTCCCTCCCTCCCTCCCTCCCACTATGAGTGAGGACATGGGGTATTTCTCTTTCTGTGACTGGCTTATTTCACTTAACATAATTTTCTCTAGGGTCATCCATGTTGCTGCAAATGGCAGAATTTCATCCTTTTATATGGCTGAGTAGTATTCCATTGTGTAGATACACCACATTTTCCTCATCCAGTCATCCACTGATGGAGATTTAGGTTGGTTGCTGCTCTTAGCTGTTGTGAATACGGCTGTGATAAACATGGGAGGGCAGCTGAACCTTCATGATGATTTCCATTCCCCTGGGTATACACCCAGCACTGGGATTGCTGGATCATATGGAAGTTCTATCCGTAGTTGCTTGAGGAAACTCCGTACTGTTTTCCATAATGGCTGGACCCATTAGCTACATTTCAAGTCCCCAGTAGGTCCACATGGTTCCTGGCCATTGTATTGGACTGTCCGTCAGCACACAATGTTCCTCTGCTGTAGACGTTTCGCATGCCCTGGTCACTTCCTGGTCTTGGCCCCCCTCACAGGGCCCAGACCCTTTGCTCTCCTTCCCCCACCTCCTGATTCCTTCTCCCAGTACCTTCTTTTCACAGAGAAACTACTTCCTGCTTCATCTCAGACTTCCAAACTTACGCCTCCAAAACCACTAGGGGCTCAGGAGTCATTCTTCTTACAAGGCACAGAAGGCTTTAGGCAGCGACATGAAAATTTTCATGTGTGTCATCCCTGTACAGGGCTTTATAGTTTACATAGTGTTCTGATACCTCAGAAGATGCAAGATCCTGTAATTAGTCTAGAACCTTGTGGGCTGGGTTTGTGCCCACTGTGCAGGTTGGAGTTAGGTTTGAGCTGCTCCAATTGCTCACGGGCACATATTTCTTGTGTGCCGCCATGTGCCAGGCAAGTCTGGGGCAGGGCCAGCCTCAGTGTGGACCCAGGGTCTGGGGTGAGGTGCCGGGGGCCAGCCCCAGCACAGAGATTGTGAAGGTCCCCACTGGTAAGGGATCCCCCAAAAGGGAGGAAGGGCAGCGTCGGCGATGGAGCGGACAGCAAACATACAGACCCAAAGGATCTGTTGAATGCTGGGACAACAAACACACAGACTCAAGGGATCTGCTGAATGCTGACAATTTATTGAAGCAAGCATCAGACTTTTATACTTTTCTTTCTTATTTGCTACATAATCAAAGAATAATCAATGAACAATATCATAATATCTCTTTGTAAGTGACATATGTTTTAAGAAAAATAGGATTACAGTTTATTCCCAGAAAAGACAATTACAATGTCCTTTCCTTTGAGCAAGAACGTTACAACCCACTGGTCCCATATAATCATCACTTTTCATCACTTGCAATCATTACCAAAACTACATCCATGGTACAATAGACTTTCTATGACGTTATTAAAACTTGATTCACACCTACATCTAACTATTCTTTATTCCTAAATAAACACTCTAAAAATTAACTTGCTTACAGCTTAACTTCTACTTCTATTGTAAAACAAAAGATTGTACATTAACTCCTTCCAAGCAGCCAGGCCAAACTCTCAGGCACCAGACAAGACGAATGCCTACATAGGTTCGTTGTCCCCTTCTGGGCCCCACTGCCATAAGCCATCTCCTGAAAATCCATAATCATAAGTATCATTAGTATGATTAAATATTTTAGTATAATTTTGAATCCTACTTCCAAGTCTCCCAGAGCGATAGTTATGAGGCAGCAAAGAATAAAATATAATAAAGCATAACAAGCACACAGAGCTCCAGAATATCAGGGTGGAATGCCGGCATCTTCTCCCACGATGAGGCCTTGCCATCATCCCTTCACGATGAGGCCCTGCAAGCACCGTGTTTCATTAAAAGATCTTTATCAGGCTTTAATCTTATGAGTGGGAGGCGCCCCCGCAGTGAGGGGAGGTCCTGTGCTGGGCATGCTGATGCGGGGTCTCTCCAGGTGCAGGCTGTAAGGCTGATCGCGGAGGGCAAAGCCCCCAGGCACCCTCAGCCTGCGGAAGGAGCCACCTATGAGGGGATTCAGAAGAAGGAAGTAGCCAGGGTGAGTGCCGGGGCCCTGCCCGCCCGCAGCTTGCCTGTGCACAGGCTGGGGTGCAGAGGGTGGCCTGGGGAAGCTGGGCTGCAGCCTGGGGGTGCAATTTTCTCTAATTGTTTGAGGCCAGAAGAAAGGTTGGGGGTGCACGAGCGGCACCATGGAGGGAGGAGGCACGTGGCACCTGGAAGGACAGAGAGCAGGGTCCACTCCAGTTCTCCCCTGCTCCTCTGTAGGGAGAATGGGCAGGCAAAGCCCCCCAGGGAGGGGAACAGCTGGTGTGGGGTTGGGGGTGTAAAAAGCAGCAACAGTGCAGGAAATCTCCACGGTGAACACTTCGGTTCCCTGGCACAGTAGCGGGGAGGGGAGTCTTGGGGGTCTGTGGGCTGCGTCTCTGCTCGGGGATGATGGGTGTTGTGCAGGAGCTATGTAGGGCCTGTAGGCTGGGAGAAGCTGTAAGTGTGACCCTACCAGAAGGACCTGAGCACTTTGTGCTGGGACTCTGTGTAGGGCCTTGGCCATCTTGATAACAACAGAACGTTATCTTCCTCAAGCTGTTCTGAAGTCTGCTCAACTCTGCTCATTGAGAGACTGAGTGTCAGAGAGCACCCAGAACTGGGGGCATCAGCTCAGGGGCTCAGACTAGTGCCTGAGAGGAAGTTGGGTTCCCAAATCCCTCACCAGGGCTCGGTGTACTGTCCAGGGCTCATCAAGGTGGGAAGGGAGTGGGGAGAGACCAGTTGAGTCCACACATCCTGCTTCCCACAGATCAACTGGGACCAGCCAGCAGAGGCCATTCACAACTGGATCCGTGGTAATGACAAGGTGCCAGGTGCCTGGACAGAGGCCTGTGGACAGGTGTGTACATGTGTGGCTGGAATTCTGCTGGATGCACAGGTGTGCCCCATACTGGCCATAAAACTGCTAAATGTGCTTGAACTGGCTGGTAAATAGCCACCGCCCCGACCCCCACCCTCACCCAAGTGCTCCCTAAATACCTTGGCCCCTCCCCCAGGGCTGAGAGACCCGTCCACCATCCAGTAGCTGAAGGGTAGATGTCTGGCATCGCAGGAGGCCTCCAGGCTCCTGCAGCAACTCTGGGGCCCAGCTGCATAGGTTGTAAAATATTTTTAGCCTCACCCAGGGGCTTGTGGAGACCCCAGGCCCAGCTCTGACTTGGACTTGGCCCCAGGCAGAGGAGGGACAGCATACTCAGGGCCAGGGACTGGGCAGTGGGCGGGCCAGATGCTGAAGATGGGGAGGCCCGGGCTCACAGGCTTAGTGGGGCACCAGGGGGTGGCAGGGCCATGGGGGAGTGTCTCTGTCCAAACTCAAGGGCAGCCTTGTCCTCCACACTGCCCTGGACTGTCCAAACCCCTGACCTCAGCCAACTGTCTGGGTGTCTGGAAGCCTCTCTGCTGCTCTTCCTGATGCAAAACACTTGTATTAGCAAATGCATCTCCTGACCAAGGCTACTGTGCTTGGTGGGTCCCCAGGGCAGTGGCCTCACTCCGTGATGCCTTGAGTGTGGCTTCCCCGTGTCCGTGCTCCTACAGTCTAGGGCCGCAGGCCAGTGCACAGGGTCTTAGGGCACATGTGGCTTGAGGTGGCCCTGCCTGCAGCTCCCCGAGGCCTTGGTAGCTCCTGCAGATCTGGTTTGTGTCCTGAGGTAGGGTCTCGGGGCTGCGCTTGGTGAGGCACCGGCTCTCAGATCACTTCCTCCTCCAGCCTGCTCAGTGCTGCCTGGGCTGCTGGTGGCAGAGCCTCTGCTAACCTCCGTCTTCTGGTTTTCCTCCCCTCGGCAGAAGCTGACGTTTTTCAATTCAACGCTGAACACTGCAGGCCTGGTGCCTGAGGGAGAAACTTTGCCCATCCCAGGAGCCCATCGGCCAGGGGTGGTCACCAAAGCAGGACTCATCCTCTTCGGGAACGATGACAGAATGGTAAGGGCCCTGCAGTTGTCCCTTGCCTGCACCGTAGGCTCAAGGCCACCCACTGTCTTGTCCTTAGGCTCAGTCCCCACAAGAAGATCCCAAGCTGGTCTGGAGAAAACAGGCAAAGACCTAGGAGGGGTCACCCTAAGCCACCCCTGACCATGGGGTCGGCCTGAGACAAGCTGTCCAGATGCTGTGACCACGTCTCTCTCTGGGAAGCGTGGGGCCCCTTGCTCTTCCTGACTTGTACCCTGTGTGGGTGGCAGGTGACCTAGGATCAGGGAGAAGCCCTCTCAGGGAGACCTGGCCACAGGCCGCATTAGTCTGAGTGTCTAAGCCCCGCAGGGTGAGGTCTTTAAACCTCCGTGTCTTCCTTCAAAGACTTCCCTTCTCTTGGAACAGGGAAGCCGTAGTGACTCAGCACAGGCGGAGCCCTTGGTCCCATGCAGGGCACGTGATGTGCTCCTAGTAGGAGCAGACCGTGCGAGTCAGAGTCACAGCTCGTGTTGTGGAGGGCTTCTTATGAGCCAGGCACTGTTTTAATACAGTTCATTCGCATTAAATGTAATCTTCCCAACAACCCTATGAGATACGTATTTTACAGAGAAGAAAACTGAATGCAGATTTAAATAACTTGCCCAAGGTCACCCATGCTAGTCTGTGGCAGAGCTGGGATACAAATCCTAAAATTCTGGCTCCAAGACCCACTGCTTGGCCGAGATAGTCTACTGTAAACACTCGAGCCATTGCTTCTTACATAAGACGCTGGGGCTATGGAGAGGATAAGGCCAGGCAAGGGGCATCCCAGCACTTGGAAGAGCTTCCACAGACCCGCAGTGCTGTGTTCTTGCCTGTGCTGGTGTGTCTGGGCAGAGCGAGTGTGGGTGGCTGTGCGTGGCTCTGGCGTGGCTGGCTCCTGGCCTCCACCTGCTTTGCTCTGCCATCAGGAGGGTCTGAGATTGCTGCTGATGTCTGTGGTCTGGGTCTGAGATGGGGATTCTTGTGCAATGGCTGATTGAGGGAATGCTCTTGGAAAGTCACGTCAGGCAGCGAGGGCAGCAGGCAAGGGCAGGGAGACAGCGCAGCAAAGACAAAGGCTCAGAAGTCTGGCCTCAGCCTGATCCCAGGGTGTGCTCCGGAGCAGGAACTGCACCTGCCAGTCATCCCTGTGCATCCCATGTCAGTCTGTCCTGGTTTCAGCTGCCCCTGGGGAGGCTGAAGGGGCAATGAGGCACAATGGCTTGGCATCTCCGAGGGCAGTAACTCCTGTCCATCAACAGCAAGCAAGGAGGAGGCACGGTGTAGGCCACTAGCACCAAACTTTACAGCACCCAGAGGACAGGGACACCAGCCAGAAGGGACTGTGAGGGGGCACTGGCTGCATCTGCCACAAGATGCACAGACAGCAAAGCAAGGAGGCAGCCTGGTGAGACCTTTGGCTGAAGAATCTCTCAGGAACTTCCCGTTGGGTCCTGCTGGGCTGTAGCTCTCAGAAAGATCCAGAATATCTCTAAAAGGCAGTAGGGTGGGGGTCGGGCAGGGAAGCTGGCTCCGGTTCTGTCAGAGCAGGTATAGAGTAAATAGCAGTGTGCCTGTCTAACCGTGATTTAATCTGCAACTCTTTCTTTTCTTTCATGTGTTTTTTTCTTGTCCCCTAACAGAGACATTTATTAAACAACTATTTATGAGCAAACAGGCCCCAAGTGTTATTAAATTCATGAGGCAGACATAAGATTATTCCAGAGCCACATTCCACAACGATTACAGTTCACATGAGACAGCCAGAATCACCTTAAACCAATGGTGGACGCTGGGTCCGTTAGGGACCGGCCTGAAGTGCTGCTCCCGAGCGTGCGGACCACAGGGCCCGCTGGATTCTGTTCGTCACCCTTTCCTCTTTCCAACTCTGTGTCCCAGATGTGCACCCAATGGTGTTCTCCAGATGTTTCTGGGAGCTGTTGGGTGATTGTGATTAGTTGTTTTCTTGATCGACTTTTAGTGTAGTGCTTGAAGTCCTTTCTTCTGAGCAGGCATCCTTTTATAAAAATCATAAAGTCATTACACTTAGAAAGCAAGAGCATAGTGGTGCTGGGTGACAGGGGAAATTGAGGGCACGAGCGCTGCAGTTTCCCCCGTGTCCCTCCCTGTTCTGGATCCTCCCTTGTCATGAAGCTGGGACTCCCTGCTCCTGCCTGGCCACGAGCATGGGGACGGGCATGGGGACAAGTGTGGGGAAGGGCAGGGGCACCAGCACAGCCCAGCGTGCAGCTGTCTCATCCTGCCTTGGTCTGAGAGTGAGAACTGTGAGGTCCTCCCTTCTGCAGCTGCTGGTGAAGAACATTCAGCTGGAGGACAGCAGGATGGTCATGGCCTCGCACTTCTTCAAGGGGGCAGACAGCAGCGCCCTGGAGCTGACAGAGGAGGAGCTGGCCACCGCGGAGGCCGTGCGGGTGAGAGGCTGCCGTCCGGGCGGGCAGGCTGTACACTGTCCCTGAGTTCTGTAGTCACACTCCCTGAGTCGTCTGCCCTCTGTGGGTGTCCATGCTGGCTGGGCACAGTGGTGGCTCTGCATTGTGTAGGGCACCTGGCATCCCCTCGCTCCTCCTTCCTCTGCAACTGGGCCCTGGGATTTGGCCAGCTGGGCCTGACCCTTCTAGGGGCTCCCCAGCAACTGCAAACAAATGACACAGAAGCCCCTGGACTATTTGAAGAGTCAGGTGCCACAGACTGGTGAGAATGTGCACGCTGGAGCCCTCCTGGAAGGCTGCCCAGAGGGGCCGTGCGCAGCGCAGATGCCAGTCACGCAGACCCAGGCTCCAGGCCCACTCTGCTCCCGTGTGGGGCCAGACAGTGCTTCTGTCTCTGAGACTCAGTCTCCTCAACCTGACGTCCGGTCAGTGGTCACTTCCGCTCCCCTTCCCCGGAAGCCGTGTTTGGATGTTGAGCCCTGTTGGATGGGTTTTCAGCCATTCAGTCATTCAATCATGTATCCAGCCACTTAAATATTTACTGAGCCCCTACCGCATGCCGTGTACGAGGAACGTAGCATGAAGTGCACCTGCTCACGGGGATGAGCCAGTGCACAGCTGAGCAGGTGAATAGAACAGTTTGGAGATGCACCATAAGTAAAGCAATGGGGTGGTGGCAAGGAGGTCCCTGAGGCTGGGGGTCGACTTTAGAAGGAAGGTCAGGGAAGGCCTCCTGAGGGGGCCTGTGAGCTGAGACCTGGGTGGAGAGAAAGATCTGAGTGTGACCTTCATGGCAGAAGAAACGGCAAAGGCCAAGGCCCTGAGAGGGTAGGGCCTCCCTGTGTTGAGGGGCAGCCGCGGGAGGGCTCTGGAGCCCAGGGAGCATAGGGCCTGCTGGAGGAGGGGAGTCAGCAGGCCCAGCGGGTGACTGTGGGCGTCATAACCCACGCGGAGGGGAGGACGCAGCCAGGGTCGGGCATGGGTGCTGAGAGCAAGCAGCTTCCTTTCCTGAAAGCCGAACACTTTAAATGTCTGTTAAAAAAAAAAAAAAAGCATATTTATCCCAAAAATATTCCTGGAGCAGCTCCTCTGGCCCTGACTCTGTGCCTGCCCTAGGGTTACAGGACCAGCTGGGCAAACAGCCGGACTGGAGCTTACAATCGAGGGCACTGGGGAAGAGGTGGGTCATCTGCTTGTTGACCCAGGACTGAGTCAAAGCCGCTTCCTTAAAAAGCCTGCAGCTGAGTCCTGCATCTGTGACATGGGAGCAGCAGCCCCTGCCTCAGGGGCTGTGTGACTGGAAGGGGAGGTAACAGACACGAAACGGTTTAGTTCAGTAGCTGGCGTGTGTCAGGACTCAGGGCACATTGGTGGTGAGTCTGAGTCACCCTGAGGAGAGCAGGCACTTGGGAGTGTGTGCGGACGCAGAGCTGTGAACACTCCTGGTGGGCTGCCCGCTTAGCTATCCCACCATCTCTGTGAAGCGGGGGCTGGGATTATCCTCATGTCCCCACTGAGGAAATGGAGCCTGAGGGCTGGGAACATGGTTAACGAGGGGCCGTGCTGGGGGAAGCCCAGGTGGTCGGTCTCGAGCCCTCACATCCACCACCATGCCATGGCCACCCATTGCCATGGGACAGCAGCTGGGTGACAGAGCAGTCACTCCAGGCCCACTCAGGCCCCTGGGAGGGGGCAGCACCTTGGAGTGGACACAGAGAAGTCGCTCCTGGCACCAGGCTGCCCTGAGCACGTCCAGGGGCTGCTGTCATGGGGAGGCACCTGCTCCCGGCTCCCCCAGGAGCAGCGTCCTCACGGGCCTGTTTTTCAGAGTGTTTGGCAACGGATCCTCCCCAGTGTCCCCGAGGTTGAAGACTCCACCGATTTCTTCAAGTCAGGGGCCGCATCGGTGGACGTTGTGAGGTAAGGCAGGACTGGAGGGGTCCCGCCCAGGTCTCTGTTGCTGTGTCACTAATCACTGCAACTCTGAGTGTTGGGAACAACTTCCATGTGTGTTTGTGGGTCGTCCAGGCCAGGGGCTCAGAAGCGGCCTGTGTGTGCAGACCTCAGGGGGCAGACTCGAACAGCAGGTCAGCGGACTGGCAGGAGCTGGGCAGCTGGGCAGGAACATCCCCCTCCAAGCTGGCTTCTTGCTGGAACATCTACAGCCCGGCTCAGGAGGCCTGATGGCTGCTCAGCTGTCACTGCCAACTGAGCCCCAGCTCGTGGCTGCCCCAGTATGGCATTGGGACTTGGACTACTACATGGCGGCTCACGGCTGTAAAAGTACCAGTGTCAGCTAGTGAGGACAACGCGGGAGCCTGGGAAGTTCCATCACGTCACTGCTGCTGACTCGATTGGTCCCAGCAGTCACAAGTTTGCCCTGATTCAAGGGCATGGTGTGGGGAAGGGGCTGAAGATCCTTCCTTCCTTCCTCAGTGGGAGGAAGATCACAGGATGTGCAGCTCTGTTTTGAAACTGCCCCAAGCCCCGACGCCCCTAGTAAAAGCTGAGGTTTAAGGGAGGAGAGAGGCAGGTAGGAGATGACTCAAACCCCCTGGGCACCCTCACACTGCAGTATTTAAAACTGAAGTACAATTTGTGTACAGTGAAATGCGCACCTCTTGAGTGACCAGTTTGGTCAGCTTTAACTTGTGTAACCCACACTTTAATCAGCATGACCCAGGAAGGTACCTCCTGCCTGCAGTTGGGGCCCCCGCCCCAGACAGTCTATCCCCACAGACTGGTCTGCCTGTCCTTCAACTTCAGGTGACAGTCCTGCCTGCCTTCTGACAGGGATGAGCTCTCGTGTGTGTAGAGGGTGGGAATGCAGTGGTGCACCTTTGCTTGCCAGTAACAGTCGCTTAACCCAAGCTGGTGTAAGCCAAAAAAGAAAAAAGGCAAAGAGTTCATGGGTAGCTTTTTTTTTTTTTTTTTTTTGTGACTGGTAAGGGGATCACGACCCTTGGCTTGGTGTCGCCCGCACCGCACTCAGCCAGTGAGTGCACCGGCCATCCCTATATAGGATCCGAACCCACGGCGGGAGTGTCGCTGCACTCCCAGTGCCACACTCTACCGAGTGAGCCACGGGGTCGGCCCACATGGGTAGTTTTTTAAACGCATAGCTGACTCCTCCAAAGGCTCAAATTAGGTCATTAACACTGTCACCCCCTGTGGCCTCAGTGTTGGCTTCATTTTCAGGCAGGGTTTGTCCTCGTGGGGACAAGATGGCTGCACAGTAGCTTTGGTCTAATTTCTTGTCTTTTCTATGTTCCCAGTGAAAAGGGGGATTGGCTGTCCTGGCAGTTTCAACATAGGTCCTAGATTTGAATCTGACTGGCTCTGTGCAGTCATGTGCCCCAGTAAGAACCAGTCACTGGCCAGGGAGGTGCACACTCTGACTGGCACAAGGCTGGGTCACGCGCCAAGGCCTGCATCAGCACCACTCTACCCATGTCTCTGGAACAAAGGGAGGAGGAAGTTAGTTCCCTTGGGAAAGGTGAACACTGTTACAAGAGCAGGGGAAACAGGCACCACAAAGGCAGAAGCGAGGACGTCAGCCACGTGGGGAAAGGTTTCTCGTCCTCAAGAAGGTCCAGATGAAACTGTGGAGCTCAGGCAGGGAAAGTGCATGCGCTGGATGAAGAGAGAGGGGAGTGTTCCCAGTGCTGGGTGCAGAAGTTTCAGAGAAGTGCTCACACAGGCTCCAGGCTTTGGTTCCTTCAGCAGAACTGAGCTGCAGGTGGGGGTGGGGGGGGAGGGAGTGCATGGGTGAGGCAGGGGTCCAGGGTGTGGGTGAGATGCAGCACGTGCATCCAGCCCCTTGGGAAGGCAGGGGGAGGCTGTTTTTAAGACCTGTGGGGAAAACGAGGAGGCTAGTGTTTGCACTCTGGGGAAGGCATGAACACAACTGCACCTGTCCATCGAGGCCGAGGTGAACACCTGTAAGCTGTCCTGGCTGCAGCCCCACCCTTCACGTAGATGATATTGTAATAAAAAGATTTGTGCAAGTGGTAATGAGAGGTAGAGTTGCGTGTAGCCTACCCAGGTATGTTCTGGAAAGGACTTTGGGAGGAGTTGATGCAAAAGAGCAACTCTGAGATCATGAGGAGAGTGGGGACACATTGTACCAGTTGGTTTTTGCTGTGTGACAAATCATCCCAAAACAGAGTGGTTTAAACCAGTGCCATAATGGGTCAACTGTGTGTGCTGGGCTCTGCTGATCTCAGCCAGACTCAGCTGCCAGACCCTTCACTGTCAGTGGTGAGCTGCTAGGGCAGCCGGGGGCTGGCTGGTCTCAGTGCCCCATCAGCAGCCAGCTAGGCTTGTTCCCATGGTGGTGGCAGGGTCCTGGGGGGGAGAGCAAGAGCCTGAAGTGCCATGTGGGGCCTGGCCTTGGAACAAGAACATTGTGTCCACTGCCTTCTATCAGCCAAAGCAAAGAGCAGCCCATCTTCCAAGGGAGGGGACTCAGGCCCCACCCCCGATGGCATGTGGCCAAGGCTGTGATTACAGAAGGGGCGGAGCACTGTGGCCCGTTTTGCAATCCACCACGTATAGAAAGGGCTGAACTGGGCTTGTGTGCTTGGAAATCTTGGGCACATGGACCTCTAGTGATTCACTCCGACTTGTTTGTAGGGAAGTATGAAGTATAAAACACATGTTTCATCAAAAAGTAATGCTAAAGCAAAGAATGTCAGCCACCTGGGAGGATGGGGTGCAGAGGCCAAGCCAGGCCTGTGTGGTACCACTGAGCCACAGCTGGCGGAGGACGTTCAGAAAGCCGATGCTTTTTTTTTCGTAAATAGTTGAGAGCTTATATCCTGTTTTAGAATTGTGGTACAAGGCCCATAGCACAACATCTACCCTCTTAAAAATGTTTAAGCATGTTGTTAACTATGAGCGCGGCGTGTACACAGGTCTCTAGAACTCTTTCTTGCATGACTGGAGATTTCTACCCTTTGAACAGCACCTGCCCCTTTCCTTTGCCCCCAGCCCCCAGCAGCAACCACCTACTCTCTGCTGCTGGGTGCGAGTCTGAGCACTTCAGGTAGCTCATATAGGCGGACTCCCGCCCTCCCGAGGTATTGTTTGTCCTTCTGGGACTGGTTTATTATACTTAACTTGTCCTCAAGATTCATTCATGTCATAGCACATGACAGGATTTCCTTCTTTTTATGGCTGAGTACTATTCCGTTGTATTTACATACACATTTTCTTTATCCGTCTTCCACTGGTGGATGTTTGTGTTGTTTCCACATCTCGGCTGCTGTGAATGAACATGGAAGTGCTTGGGGTTGGAGATCTTGATTGAAGTTCTCCTGGATAAATACCCAGAAGTGGGATTGCTGAATCATATGGTGGTGCTATTGTTAATTTTGGGGGGAACCTCCATGCTGTTTTCCATAGAGGCTGCACAATTTTAAATTCCCAGCAATGGTGCACACGGGCCAGTTTGACCACATCCTAGACAACACTTCTTCCTTCCCTCTGTCCCTCCCTCCCATCCTCCCTTCTTCCCTTTCTTCTTTTTAAAATAATGGCCATTCTAACAAGTATAAAGTGATACCCCACTGAACTTTTGATTCTCATTTCCCTGATGGTTACAGATGTTGGACATCTTTTCATGCACCTGTTGGTTATTTGTATGTCTTCTCTGGAGAAACGTCTAGTCAAGCTTCTTGCACATTTTTAAATGGGATTATCGGTTTTTGTTTTGTTTTGTTTGCTATTGAGTTGTAAGAGTTCCTTATTACAACTTGGAGATTAGCCTCTTAACAGACGCATGGTTGACTCCCACTCCATAGGTTGCCTTTTCAGCGTGCTGTTTCCTTTGCTGTGCAGAAGCTTTTCCGTTTAATATGATCCCACTTGTCTATTTTTGCTTTTGGTGCCTGTGCTTTGGTGTCATGTTCAGGAAGTCATTGCCAAGACCAATGTCCTGAAGCTTTTCTCCTGTTTTCTCCTACAAAGTTTTATAGTTTCATTCAAGTCTCACTTCCTAAGTTTTTCATCCATTTTGAGTTGATTATTTTTAT